GAATGTTTGTTTGAGAAGACTTTAGAGACTGGGTGTGTCTACATGTGCATGAATGTGCTTTTACTAATGCACATTAAATATAGTACCTCCAATATGAAGTACTAAATAAATGTGCATTAGGCTGCACTAATGCACAGTAGCGCAAGTGCATGCTTTTTAGGTGACGCTTAATGCCTATTCTACTGCATATTAACATATCAGCACTTTTTTACATGCTGCTTTAATACAAAGTAGAATAGGCTACTGTGCATCAAAGCGTACATGTAGACATGCTCACTGATTACTATTTCCATATCAGCTTTAAGTTGTGCCTGACTGGTAGAAGCAGTGAACGATGGCAAAGGCACACATAGGAAACAATACACACAAGCAGCGAAAATGTCTTACCCCCACACAGAGATGTTTAAAGGTATCAAGCTGATGAATGCATCTATCTGGTTTGCAGGGGGACCACAAATGATACTGAATTATAGCAGTCAAAAAGGTAATAATTATAATCTCAGTTATGGTAGTCCTACATACAAGCTAGTTTTCAGATATATCACTTCTTCATTTTGTTACATTTTTTGTGAAGCAGGGTAGTTGGAAAAGGCAAACAGAGGAATAGTTTGCCAGAGTCAGTTCTTATGTCAGCTGGCACCAATATATTATTTTAATAGTGCAAAAACCAAGTCAGTAGTTTAAAATTTGAAGATTTCTAAAACAATTTCATTTTACTGCATTTGTGGTGCTAGATCCTTTTTACAAATATGCCAAGTAAAATATTTATGCAAAATCAAATAAATTACTTTAATTTTCCACTCTTGTTAAATTGGAACGTGAAACAGATATACTAACTTCCACAATCTTAAAGGAAAAGTAGTTTAAAAAGCCATTATTTTTCTTTGCAGGATAGAATCTTGGCTGCATTTAAACACATTATAATATGGTAATTCCATTTGTATTTTATTCTCCACAGAAATCAATATGAGCTAGTAACTCTCTATGTTGGCTTGTTGGATACTGTACTTTACATTTGGGACACTCAAGGAAGCTTTCGTCAAGCAGATTCAAACGTTTTAGTGAGGTATTTTTGTCATATATTGTTAACTTGTCCTGAAATGCTGTTTGCAAACCATCTTCTGCTGGCTCCACATTTCCAAACACATGGATTTTCTGGAAAAGAAAGTTTTCTGATGTAGTTGTTGCATGCATGCACACATCAAGCAGTCTTAAAATATGCCATGTATCTGACAGCACATTTGTATTTCCTAGCTAAAGTCAAACACAAGGCATTAGGGGCTAGAACATTTAAAAAACAGTAACTAGAAAACCCTAAGATTTGGGAAGGGTATTAGGTACACTTCAAATCCTAAACGCAACTTCAAAATCATTTTTGGAACTTTACGGAAGCTGGTATCTCTTAAGTTATGGTTTCTCCAAATTGAACAATGCAAAATACATTTAGCACAATCAAAGACAGCTGAACCATTAGTACCTTGTTCTTTTAACACATGGATATCCTCAGCAGCAGAAGGATGGCAACCTACGCTTACAGTGAAGTACAAGGCTGCAGGAATATGGCTGGCCAATATTCTGCAGTGGACAAGCATCTGGCTGGTTAGCAGAATCTTTTGCCTTGGAGCACCATCCCTGCTTCAGAACAGGGTTGAAGCTTTTCTGGTAGAAACACCATCCCATAAACCTACACATTGGTCCTATATTAGACTCAGAAATGATCTCTGGTCCTGTTAAAGTTCAGAGGCATTTTGGTATCAAAGACAAAAGTAAACAAGCAGCATATAGCTAACTGCCCTGTGGAGACAGTGGGTGCTGACAGATGTAGAAGCCTGCTCCCACCCATCCAAAAAAACCCCCCAAAAAACAAAAACATGCTTTACCAGAAGCAGCAGTCTGTTATTTTGACCCAGCTCCACAGTGTCTGTATAGATTGGGTGCTTCAGCAGGGCTTTTTGGCACTTTTAGTTAAAGCTGATTCAATCAGCTATTAGATAAAAATATCAAAAAGCCCCACTAAAGTGCCTGATCTGTACAGATGTTGGGAAAGCCCAGTGCAACTAACACGCTGCCTCTTCTGGATGTGTGCTGGAGCACGCCAAGTTTAAAGTAAAGCACTCTTTTGTTCTCCTCCCCACATCTGCAAGCAGCCAGTAAGATAAGCTGATCCAACTGAGATAATAAGAACTAGAAGCATGGAGGAAATAACATTTAGGATAAAATATTATACACAGTAAAAATATTGCTTCTTCAGTGTCTCTTCATGTCACCTATTCTACCAGTAAGCAAAGGTTACACTGGTGGTTATGGCACTAAACTAGGGACAGGTGTGAGGAAAGTCCTGGGTTCAGTCCTGCTTCCAGGACTGTTGCATTTAACATAAAGCAATCATTGGAAAAGGTACAGAAAAAGTTTCAGAAGCAGGGATCAAACACAATACTCCCCTCCCCACCAACACCTCCAATGAATGCTGTAACTAGGTTAACTCTTGTACTCATCCTGCATCAACTAATTTTGAAAGTTTCCTGCCTCTGCACAAAACAGCTTTAGCAAGATGGATGGAGACTTCTGGAGCCAGGGCACTCTGCTTGAAAATTAACATGTGGGCTTAAATCTTCTCAGGCTCAGGAGGAATGCTCACTCAGGCCTTCTACTTCTTCAGCAGATGTCCTCTCTGCTAGGATGAATCCCTGCAGCCCCAAGTTAGACACTTAAGAGATCGTAGACAATCCCTGTCCTCAGTGCTTCTTATGGGGAACTGAATGTGCTGTTTTAGATCCCATTTCGAGGTACCCAACATTCATTATATATATATCGTACAGGGATCCTGGGCTTATTAACACTTGATTTTGGATCCACTCTGGGGGTCAGTGTTAACTTTTAGGCATTTTATTGGATCTGGCCTTTCAACACTAAATGGGAGATCCATGCATGTACTGGTGAAGGCACACTGCTTGCTCAAATTAATGTATAAATAACTGACTACATACTGAAGTCTCCTTGGCCTTGAGCAGCTCCTTAAAAACTTTATTCAACTGATGTTGCAAGTTTTGGCGATCAAACTTTTCATTCTCAAAGTCAGTAATACACATTTGGATCTGGAAAAGTCAACAGGATAAAAATGAATAGTTGCAGAGGTAGAACTACTGAATAAGAACTTACTCGGGAGATACAGTTTCAAATTTCTTTTGTGGTTGCAAATCTTAAGCTAAAATGATATGTTTAATGACTAGTCTGACAACATGCGTGGGGGGAAAAAATATCTTACATAATCAAGCAATATCAAGTTACAGACTTCATATAAAGCAGTTATCTAAATCTTTTTAATGTTAAACCGGTGCATGACTAATGAGAAAACACTCTTCCCTAGCACATATACAAGTTTAAAAGGAGAGAAGGATAAGGGTTTTCAAAAAAATTATAGTTTCTTGTAGCAGATTTGTATACTATTGCCTTTTAAACTAGTCACCAAAAAGCCTGGTAGGAAATCCTCCTTCACTCATCTCAATAGAATTCTTACCAACTTCAGTGGGACAAGGGAAAGTGGAGTGGAAGGATTTTTTTAAATCATTTCCATCTATAAGTTGGAACTTGTCTGGGTTGCTTTGAAGTTCAGCGATATAAATGGCATTGGTAGTATTGAAGTGATATTGTTGCTGTGATGGTTGAGGAAATATGAAAGAGACAAGAATTTTTGTGGACGGTATCTTGTATTGGACCAATTGCATGGTTGAGATAGACTTAGGCAAGCTTTTGGGTGTCACAGTACTGCAGAGGCGGGTATTATGATACCTGAAAACTTACTTAAGTCTATTCCAGTTGGTCCAATACAACATATCGGCCACAAAAATCTTTGCCTCTCACATAATGGTATTCTTCTTTTTTTAATAAAAGTGCTATAGATCAATGGCTGTGTAGAAAAATAATTTGAAACCCTGTTTGACTATTAGCATGTGACAGAACAGTTTATGGTAGAAGCTTTTGCTAGAAAGCAGAAGCAACTTCCATCATTTTGTTTTAAGCACACCAAAAACCAAACACATGTGAAGATATGAAAAGTATCCACATTGCCAATTTAATATGATGATCAGTTAAATCTGAGTCTGCAAAATTATGAGTCTTTTAATATTGTACATATTAATATAAAAACAACTCGAAGAAAAATTAGATGGCAAGAACAGTCTAGAAAAATGCGAGGGATAGAACATTGAGATCAGTGTTTTATGAAAACAACAGATTTTAATTTGTATATTATAGAGTGCATTGCAGGATTCAAACTGAGGTTAGTTGATGGGGAAAAAATAAGATATTAGATTTTAAGACAGTACAGTTCATGTTTATATTTGAGCAGCTAACTATTTTTCCCTAGTAGTATCCACTTAAATTTTGTTCTATCCATAATTATGGGTTTTTCCTTCTGAAAATCTGCTGACAAAATAAATGTTGTAAGTAAAGAGTATAAAGAAAGATTCTTTCTTCTTTTTTTCTTCAAAGCAATAGCAAAAAAAAAGAAAGTTATTTTATAAAGTAGCATAGATCATAATCATTCTGAAACTAGTTTTAAAAGCAAAAGTGATTTACCTGAAGCTTTCGCATTATACCTAAGCCTGCAGTTAAATTAAAATGACCACCAGTAAAATAGTGCTGTAGAGTATGGCAATAACAGGAAAGGCAAAGATTATTTTGCCACATGGAAAACCTGCCACAACAGTTTTTAACAAAGGTAAATGGGCAACTTAAATTATAGAATTTTTGTAGCACACCTCTTCTCTTTTCCTGAGGTAATAAGTACTATATTTGTATTTGAATCTTTGTTCTGGCATTTATTTTACTGAAAAACCCTTAATGTCAAGTATCTGCTTTTATTAACAATACAAGTTCTTAACCTGTACTTCGAAGAAGCAACATTTTAAAAAGGGCTTTTGTGTATAATACAACGAGAGAGAAAAGTCTATCTTTTTTTCTTAAAGCACAGTTGATATAATTAAAAAAAAAAAACAAGCAGAATTTAAGAGTGCAATTTGCTACCTGTTGTTCTAATGAAGCTATCCTTGTGTGTTCCTCTTGTCGTTTGAAGAGAGATTTGTGAAGAAGTTGAACCTATAATTCATAGAAAAAGGAGCTTTAACCAAGTTCCTCACATAATTAAATCCTCCAGAATTACTTTTTAAAAAATAAAAACAGGGCTGAAACAGCATGCGTCAATAATACCAATCACTTCCTCTCTCACATCATAGTCTACCCTTCCTCATGGAAATGAGGAATGAAATGTCCTCCAGCTAGTGGGAGGACACAGTTTTCCTCTCTCACATCGTAGTCTACTCTTCCTCATAGAAATGAAATGCTAGTGGGAGGACACAGATTTCCTGACACTGATAACTAAAAACTGAATTTTTTTAAATTAGATTTTAATTTTTTTATTCACTTACAAAATTAAATTTAAATTAGACAACCTTAAACAATATTAAAGCCCAAACAGAGTATAAAACCTATTACAATGTAATAAATCTGTAAACCTGTACCTAAGAAGTCCAGCCACTGAAACAGGGAAGTCACTGGCTAAGCATCTGCAATTGAAGCCAGATGAAGTGCTTAATCAGGTTGACAGCAGTAGCCTCTTCTGCAGTTGCAAGGAGAGTATCTCCTTTCCTTTCCATTTATTTCAGTGACTTACATACATGAACAATAGGAGATGATTGTCACCAGCGGTGATATGTACTAACAAAAAGCTCAGCTCCAATAACTCCTGTAGGCTAAGTACAGACATTTGGGGGTGTTAATCAATTCAAAATGGCTGCCCAATATCAGGTAAGTCAGGATGGGGGTGGCTAGCTGGAGGGCTTGGGGGTCCAGCAAGCTGAAGGGGATTGAGGGTCTGCCAGGGGACTGGGGGGAAATGCGACCTACAGGTTAGGTAAGAGGACAGGTGAGACCTGTAGGGGATGGGGGGAGCAGGCATGACCCACAGGTGGGGTGGACCTCCCCCTCCATGAACCTACACTGTGATCCCTCCCACTGGGACTTACTTGCTCAGTTCCAACAGTGGCAAATGCTGATAAAAACAGCTGTACCTGGAGCTGCTTTTGGGATGGGGGTTGACAGTACTGGCTGGGGGGGGAATAAGGAGGACCAGGGAGGCAAAAAATAACCCAGTGCAGGGGAAGTGAAAAGAGCAGCCTCAGGGCTGGGGCCAGTGGCTGGGTTTTCCAAGTCCTGGGGTTGCGCAGGCAAAGTGGACAGAAGTTCCACACACCAGTTTGATCTAAATCAAATGAGTCTGATCCAGGTTTATCTTAAACCGGTTTCTGCATTTTTTTCTGACCAGTTTGTGTGCATGGCACTTGTGTTCTGTTACAGGTTTGGACTGATTGCTGGTCTCTGAGACCAGGTCTGTAGGGGTAAGGTCAGCTCCAGGACAAGCTAAATTTAAATTGGGCAGCCATTTTGAACCCAATTTAACCTCCTGAATGTCTGTACTTAGCCGTAAAGTTAGATAATTAACTAAGCTCTACAGACTTCCCCTGGTGCTAGAGAATCAACCCCCAGGGCTAAGAGTCATTTGCATTGGTTATTATTCAATTGTTTATGTTCACACTTAATTATTGATCAAAGTCTACATTTTTTACAGGCCTGAGTTCAAACACCCCTGCTGCCTTTTTTACGAGCAGGGACACTGATACATGAGACTCAGGAGGTCGCTGGAGCACAGTCATTGCCATGCTCCAGCAGACTCAATTAATCGAGTCTGCTCTGACATACTGCAATTCCACCATATTGGAGCAGCTTATATGTTCAGGTATAGGTACCCATGGATTCCTATTTGAAAGCTCTGGGTTATCTTGTGAAGTGTGTATGCACACCTAGATAACATTGTGAGGCACCCCATGGCACCCTTGAAATGATCTCAAGGCATCACAGGGTGCCATGGCACCCTGGTTGAGAATCACTGTTCTAAGATGTTCACAGCTGGCTAGAATATTTGTTAAAAAAAGACTATAAAAGCTACATTAACTGATATTAAATCACTCACCTTTCACAGGCAATGCTTCAATTGAGGGAGAACTGCTAGGGGAAAACAAGTAATGAAGCTCTGCCTCTAAAGGGCACCCATAACCTTGGTCATAGCCACAGTATAAAAAAATGTTAAACATTCATGGTATGCCAATATAATAGAGTAGAATAAAAATTGGAAAACCTAGTGAGTGTTCAGTGGTGAAACCAGATTGGATGTCAGCAACTACTCCCTCCAGGTAAGAAAAATAGGTGCATTGGTATTTGCCTCAGGAGGTACCGAGATATTCTATCCAGGCTATTTTTAAAGCTAGCATAAGAAAGAAACTGCTGGAGGAAATTTCACAAAGCTCTCAATTAGTTTATAGGTTTTGATCTGCAAAGTGACTGACTTCGTCATCCATTCAATAAGGGAGAGTGTTTTAAATGTGTGTGTAAAGATGTAATACTTAAACATAAGAAAATAGTTTCAGACCCTCTTTTGTACTTAGAGCAAGCATCTCTTAAACTCTTATTGTTTAATAATTAATTTATGGCCATGTACTGGATCTACTTACCTGAGACAAGAGATCTTCACTTATCCTCTTTTCTTTATTGAGGTGTTCTCTGATAACTTCATTCTCTTGCTTTAGCCTGTGTATTTTATCTTCTTTTATTTTATTTTCCTCTTCTACAGTCTGCATTTCAAAGTTCCGCTGTGACAGCTGTAAGTTCAAACTCAATACTTCTCGCTTTGTTTCTTCATATTTGTGTTTGAATTCATTACGTTCAGATTTCAGCTGGGTTACAGTTTGTCTTTTAGTCTCAAGATCCTTCTTAGCAGTCAGTAAGAGTTGGTCATAATATTTTTGTTTTTCTTGCAAGTAACCTTCACAAGTCATGAAACAGAACAGTTCAGAAAACTTACTTTCTCGGACGATGACTAAGCTAGATTCTGTGCTGCACCTGAGGGCAGGCTGTCTGTATGATGGACTACTGTCAGGCTCAGATTAGCCCTCAATTTCAGTTTGAACAGGCCCAAACAGGCCGACTGTATTGCAGTCATGTCAGAAACCCCAATGCATTAATTTGTTTACCAACCTGTATTTGACCTCTCAGCTGTTATATCTTTAATAGTTGCTGCTTCTATGACAAAACAATTTGTCACCAGTACTGTCATACCTTTACCTTCCAGATTTTTGGCACTATCAAGAGAAGAGTTTCTGTTTTCCTCCAGCTTAAATTATGAATTCCCTCCACAGCAAGTGATCCAGTGCCTTCCACTTTATCGCTCATTACTTGTCACCAGCTATGAACCAAACTGATTCAACTCTTATTTCTCTCTGTCATCAAACATATAAAACTTCAGGAATCAAAACTTGCACGCACCATTTTCACTTATTAGGAATACATAGAAGCTCAGTATCAGCACTAAAGCCATCTGCCTGGAAAAGGAGGATGCACTATCGCATTGGTTCCACCTTGGTTTGTTTTTGGAAGGTTCTCATTTTCCATAAAGGACAGAAGCTTTATTGAAAGTTTAGATTCTGCAGAAGGCAGCAGCACTCACCAGGGAAAACTTCCTGCTTACTTTAAAATGAAGATTTTTCATGCTGCTGCCACATTTGTTTAGCAGTATGCTTGGGCAGCATAGGGCAGTAAGATTTTTTTTTTCTACAGGGATACTGTTCTGGGTTCTGCTTCGGGGCTCTATCCTATCCACCTCTAGTTTGTAAAATAGTAGTTTTATACATTTAAGGCCATTTTGGTTTTTGTCCTCTCTCTTCCCAATTTCTTTTCTTCTCTCTACACATCTTTTCTTATTTCCTCTCATTTCTCAGATCCAGAGGTTTTCCCCAACCCCATACATTTTCCCATCTGTGAAAGCCATCAGCAATGAAATAGCTAATGTTAACTTTTAAAATGTTCGTATAGTTAACATCCTAGTGAGCTTAACTGGGGAGAGGAAAGGATTGTTCATGTTTCAGAACCATGAGCCACATGCAACAGCAGGAAGAAAATACTATATAGAAAAAACAGTTTAACCTTTCTCAATGTTGCTTGAGCCACGAGGTCTAGAATATTGCCTTTCCCCCTGTTGATTACAAAAATGGTGCAAAGGCCCCCAAAATCCATACAACAGGCTGGGTGATTGGTGCAGAGGTGTATTCCTGAAACTGGTTATGTTGATCCATCTAAGCAGACTGCTAGTAGAGGATGAACCTAGGCATCATCATTCCTATGGTGTGGACATGTCAAATTTTTAACTGAAAGGGCCTCTATAATTGTTTGGAGCCATGGCAAAAAGTTAGCATGGACATATCCAGATCATACAGCTCTCAGTAACCGAGTCACAGTTGTTCATATTCTAAGATTTGCGCACACACCCCTGACTAGTCACCTTTTATAGTATGTGTTCTAAAAAAGAATAAATCCACACCTAGCTGAAGAATCTTTAATGCATCTGCTATATGGAGGAAGAGAATAATTTGCAGGAAAGGTTACCTAATGTTGGCTTGCTGTTAAGAGCACTATTTATGCAAACAAAAATGGTTGCCAATTAAACATTAAGGAAAATTCAGTTCTTCTCCAAGTTCAATGGCTGAATTTATAGGCCGAACTCAGCCGTTAGCAGTTAGCTGCCAAGAATAAAACCTTTAAAAAGATCAAAACAAAGTATATGAATAACAAGAAATTCTAGGGATTAAGCAGAACAGAGCTAGGCAGCAGTGAACTCTTGAGCAAAAATATTTTACTTATTGGATCCTTTTTTTCTTTCAATATTAAGGAAACAAAAGGAATAGGAAATTCTTACATTCTAGCATTATTTTTGTTTTCTTTCAACTCCCTCAGCAGACTTACAGTATAGAACAGCATTTCTCAATCTGTGGGTCGTGACCCAAAAGTGGGTCACAAGAATATATGAAAGGGTTATGAACAAATTTAAAAAATGGATTCTCCTGTACAGGAGATAAAACGTGGAAAATAGTGGCTTTTCCCTTGCAGACTGGCAGAGGCTGCCTGGGTCTCCGCTACCCTATACCCCCACCCCCTGGCACCACACATTGGGGGGCTGGGTCCTGGAGGCAGCAGGTCAGGAGTGAGGGGCACTAGGTTGGGATTGGCCATCAATGTTTACAAATGGGTCCTGGTACAAAAAAGATTGAGAAACACTGGTATATAATAGCATCTGGTATAAAACTCTGAATTAAAGTTGAAGTCAGTACCTTCTGCACCAGCATCTTTTGCTTGCTGCTGGCTAACCATTTCTGATTGTTTCTCAAGCTCAAAGATCCGTGCTAGGAGTCCCCTGACATATGCCTCACGCTGCTGGTCATATATCAACCACTGGTGATTTTTCTCCAGAGCCTTTACAGAGGAACAAAATAAAACAGTATTTGTCAGATTCTAAAAATGACTCTTCTTCTTTCCACTACTCCATGACATTGCCAAATATACCATGCAGTTTTCAGGAAAATTTAGTCATTACTACATCTTACACAGACCAGAAATTAACTTTTTCTGAATTTGGTAACTTGTGTTATATTTGTCAGATGGAGTGATAATTGAGGTGTTATTTCAGCTCTTAGTTTTAGTTTCCTTTGCTGCAGTATTAACATACCTATTTTATATTGTGTGTACCCATAGAGATGGGTTGCATAACAAGCTGTATGAGTCATGCTTTGGAACTCATGAGGGATGAAGTTAGCTGAAAAACTTCTGTACAAATGAATTTGAAACACTTTCTGAGAATGGAGTAAAACAAAGCCAAACATTTGTCAAATCATTTCTGAACACTGTATTCCACTTCAAATACGTTTGGAAGAAGGTTGGATTTTATGAACTGACAGATGTAAAATGCACCTTATACAATCAAGCAGCCTCCAACCCTTCAGAAGTATTTTTCTCTAGAAGGAAGTCACATGGGAAAAAAATCATGCTCGACTTTTAGTCTACTACCTCTCAAGTTCAGGCAAACCACAGAAGACTAGTTATACATTTAACTATGGAAAGATAGCATTTCCATAATGTGAACTGAGACACCTTGCCCCTACCCCTGCCCCTTTCATATAGTTTGATCATACCAAATTAACTGAAAATAGGAAAAGTGACATTTTCAAGATGTCATTCACTCTCCTAAAGGTGTTCAACAAAGACTTGATGAAACTCTTATATCCCCCTCTAGTACACTACATATCCAAATACAATATCGCCTTTTAGTAATTTCTTTAAATGAAAGCTTTTACAAAAATGCATGCTGTGCATATGATTAAGAGTTCTGAAAATAGATGTTTCCTTAAATGGATGCATTTCCCCAAAGGGCACTGCCCTCACATAATTATCTCCCATAGAAAATATTTTGTAAAGAAATTTCTAACAAAAAAGTTTTTTGGAACAGATATATAGTAAAACTTCATTTAACTATCTTGTAATAAATGAATTTATGGCTGAGCACAAGTTAAACTTCAAGAGGAAGTAAACCCCACACTGCTCAAAGCTTAACCATGGGTCAGTTTGCAGTCCTTAAGTAGAAAAAGTAAAGGGGATTTAGTTTCCACATCAGCCTCTTTTCTAAATGCCAGGTGGAATGTGTAAATACGGGCGTGCAGTTCTGTTAAAATTTCAGTTCACTCTGGTTAAATTGCCAAACCTCATAAAACTAAGCTGAGAGCACACACATCATCTATAGCAGTCCTATACAGTTGGCTAAGATTCCTGGCAAACAATTTAACCTGCATAAAGATTAGAAGTATGTGGGAAGAGTTGTGTGTAAGGCCTAAGCTTATACCTGATCAGATACTCATTGGTAATAATGCACAGCTACTTATTTGGAGATGTCTATAAAGAAATTTAAATAAGACATGAAATATTTCAGGATTAAGATACCAAAATTACCCTAACTATAGCCAATACATTGAAGGTTCCTTGTTAAGATCAATCACCACTGCTTATTGCATAGTAATTTATAGCAATTACTATTAAATTCCCCCTTTTAACATTTAATACATAAAGACTGTAAAATTAGTAATAAGGATTTGTGTATCACAACATGATCCAGACAGAACACCCTGGGAAAGGCTAACAGATATTTTAGTCCAACTACAGTTTGGCAAACACTGGCGAATTACTAAACAAATATGATGTCACACCTATTTTACTGGTTTAGAGAGTGGCAACAGAACAGCCTTTCTGGAGTGGTGAGGGTGCAGATCAATATTAGGGGTGCACTGATAGAGATTTTTTGGGCTGATACTGATGGCCAATTAGGAGCCATATCAGTCTATACCGATCTGATTGCCAATATGTGGCCTGGAAGCTTGGAGAGCAGCGTCCGTCTGGTAAGTCTGTTGTGGGGGAAGGGGTGCAGATAGAGGCCTCTGCATTGAGTGATGGAGCAGGGCTGGAGCTAGAGCAGGGGTCGGCGCTGCCCAGCCGGGGCAGGGTGCGGCATGAAGTCGTGAGCAGCTCATTTGGGAGGTGTGGGGAGGGGAGGTGGCTCCTGCTGCTGTGTGCACCACCCAGGGGAGACATGGGGGGTGCCCCCGGATCTGCACGTGGGCCGAGGGCAGGCTTGTTTCTTGCCTCTCTGTGCTCTGCTCTGGCCACAGCAGTCACTGCCTCCTGTGTGCGTCAGATGGGGCTCGGGTGCTGTGGGCCCTGGCCATAGTTATTTAGCCCTGGTAGCTCAACCCCCCGCAAATCTGGGGGGGGGGCAAAAGACTGTAGATTGGAAAGAGACGGGCACCAGGAAGACTGGGGGTTGGGAGCGAGGGGCACTGGCAGAGCCAGTGGACTGCAGGTTGCGAGTGAGGGGCACTGGCATATCAAGGCTGCTCAGCACCATAAAGCAGCAGGGGGAAGGGGAATAGCTGCAGGTGGACCCATGTCCTGGTGAGCAAAGGGGGCAGGGAAGGGGAACTCTGATTTTCCATGATAAAAAAAAAGCAAAATCAAATGTGTAAGTATTTTATTATAGTGATTGAGATACTGGTAGGCTTCCAAGTTGGTTTAAAATGATAAATACAGGTTTCCCTTGCTTTATGCTGTACATGTGTTCCTGGAAAATAGTGCATAACTCCAATTTGCATAAAGGGAACCCACTTTACAATGTAACAAATAGGATACATTCCAAGACCTTGACTGTACTGACCCCCAGGCCCATTTCTACCACTTTTACAAGACAATCTTGGTACTCACCAACAGCAGACAGTACACACAACCACAGGACACTTTCATAATGGGGATGATAACTACAGGTGTTGCAGACAACGAGCAAGGAGCACAGATCCACACAGGGGACTATATTTGGGTGCTTGTCACTCCCACAATGCACTGCACAAAGCAGCTGACTTCAGACTTCCATCACACCAGTCACATAAGAGTTAATTTATATCGCATATAATGAATTTTTGGTATAAAAAGGATCATCACATAAGAGTGAATTTGTACATACAGATCCTGCATAAAGCAAGGGAAACCTGGATATCAATAAAACATTGTGTTCAACTGATAGAGAGGAGAGAGAGAGGGGCATTTCATTTTAATTGTGGAAAAATGCAGATTTTGGGGTTATTAACAAGAGAATTTTGAAATTTTTATCAGAGAATTTGTGATTTTTTTTCAAATGGAGAGAACCAGGACCTCTGGTAATTAGCAGCCTGCCCTTGGTTGATAAAAACATACCAGAACTGGAGAGAGGAGAGGGGAAAAGACTTGGGAGAATAGAGGGGCCCACTATCAGATGAGAAGTATCCCTCCTGTGGCGAGGGAGACGTTAATATTGTAGTAGGAAGAGTTTTAAGGGTCTGCCCCAGGCCAGCAGATAGAAAAAAGGAATGGAATGATCACAGCCTTAAAGAGACTGACACTAAAGCCGGAGGATAGGACATCATAATTACCCCAGGGAAAGGGAGCATATTTTCTTTTGTTTTGAGAGCCGGAGTGGCCTGATCTTTGTTTAGTTAACCCAGAGGACTGGAGGGAACTAGAAAAGGGGATGAAGAGGAAGTCCCCACAAAAGCCCAGGCCGGTTCAGTACACAGTGAGAAAGCAACAGAGCATGGAGGAGCATAGAATAAAAAAGCCTAAGGTGGCCCAGTGGGCAACTGAGCCAGAGTGAGCTCAGAGAGGTGCAGGGCACACTAAGGTCCTGCTGAGAGCATGAGAGACGGTGGAAAAGAGGCCTAGGATTTGTTGTACAGACTGGGAGGTGAGTGAATGGTGACAGAGACAGCAGAGCACTGCATGGACACCCTCGTGAGCCATGAGCAGCCTCCCTTCTCAAATTAACATCTACTAGGAATTATATTGCATGGTGGCCACTAGAACAGAGGTGAACTTTGGGCAAAGTGAGCTCCAGTGCAGGAAGAGACCAGGGTGGCAACCATCCTGTGACATACATTCAGTATTTCAGAGGGAGATAACGTATGTTCCTTTCAGTGTGACTCTTTATCTGAAGATTATTTGTACTCCTACATGTTGAGATATAATTATATTGCAAGTATCTTACGTGCATAGATACAAGGAAACTTACATCTTTCAATTGTTTTTCAAGTTCACCAAAATCGGTTGGTGATCCAGGGAAGTTGGTTACCGCTTCCTGCAGACAAAGCAGAGTGAATTAACTTCCTGAGCTGTACTTGTTACTGAAAGTCAAACTGTCTTGTAGAAGTCACAGATAAATGCATGTAATTCCAAATAGATATATTCCAATAACTGTAAGTGTGCACCAAGTATCAGAATTTTGATTTCATGCATTAATGGTCTCTTGGCTATTAAGTCTGTGAAACCAGGAGTTCATCACAATATACGTCCATTGTGCAAAGAATAAAAAAATTATTGGTTGCACAATGAACCTATATTGTGATGAACTGCTGGTTTCATAGACTTAATAGCCAAGAGACCATTAATCTCTTACAATTTTAAGCTGCCTATACATATGCTTGGATTGGGGGGGAGGGGGAAGAGGAGTAGGGGAGGCAGCATTTGAAATAGAGCAGTTTCCAGGCAGCCACTCTAATTAAAATGCAGCATCATCTGTATTAAACCTCTGCATGTTTAAAAATGACCACAGGATGTTAACTAAAGGTTTAGATAAAAAGTGCCCCACAGCCATTTTAAAATGTGCAGGGGCTTAATACATGGGATGCTGCAGCGTTGTTGCCACTGATCTGATTAGAATGTGGAGCAGACTCAACTCCGACATGTTCCAATTAGAATGCAAAGCAGTGCGTGTAAAGGCACCCACATATTCCAGGCTCCTCCAAAGACGGGCAATAGAATCTCACTCTGAAGCCTTCATTAAGCCCTAACTTCCGGTTGAGTTAAAACATTTTAGAGGAACATCCAATCTAGACTTGTTACTTACGTGTTTCAGACTGGAAACTGTAAAGTAGTTTTCATAGATTAAAGTGCGGTGGGTTTTGTTTAAATGTACAGGTCAGTTAAGTCAGTCCAGTGTTACTTGCCGAGTTCAGTTTTGTTGTGCTCCTGTACTATGATCTTGTCAGTATGTTACCAACGTGCATTAACAATATAAAAATACTACATAAAAGTTGTTGGGGGAAGGTGAAGGTTTTAAGAACAACACAGAACAGCTGACACTTTCAGTGGTTTGAAAGGCACGGAAGACTCTTTGGGATCACGGAGGAAAGAAGCATAGTAGGGAGGTGTTTTTGCAGTAGTCAACTGTAAAATAATACTGATGTTAAATTATGTGTGTTCAGGGTTAACACTCTATTATCACACATAAATGCAAATTTCATATTTGAAAGGTTCTTCAAAAGCATAAGCATTAGAAGCTTTTTTGTTTTGTTTTTAATACAAAACCATATAAATATTTTCAAAGGCAGAAAATCTAAGTTGGATTCCTAATTCCAGTTTTTCCTTTGAAAAAAAGCTCCTAGATCCAAGAGTATATATCTCCAGTAAGCAGTAAATCCTGGGGGAAATTCTGCAGCTTAGCATACAAGAGATGCTGAATGCAAGTATTAAACTATGATAAGCTATTTTATAAATATGAAACACTAAATATTAAAAAACTCATGTTCCTCTTTGCTTCTGTAGTAAAAAAGAAACTGGTTAATCAAACCAATAGAACTTGTGCACTTGGACAAATTGTCACTAACATGATATTTTTTTCAGTTTTCAACCACGGTAATAATTGCTTTTATTACACCACCTAGCAGCCACAAGATGCATTGCTGGGCACATTTTCAAGCTTTTAGAAACATCCAATCAAAAGCCTTTGTTCAACTTACTGAGCTTCATTTATTGTCAGACAATTTGAAAGGGTAACATGCTTATTAATTCGGTAGTTGGCCTACTCCAAACGTACAAGTCACGAGTTTGGCAACAATTGATTCTGTGGTGATTTAATTTGGCTCATTTCAGAATAGCCACCCAAATCTGAAGGGCCTTAAATTATTGAGTAGAAAAGTTTATTATAGAAGGGCTACCATTCCCCTCTTATTCCTCCGTGTTCCTTAATACAGTATAACCTCATAAATGCGGATATCAAAAATCTGGAAATTCTCAAAAATCCAGCACATCAGGGAGTAACGGCAGCTGGTCCTGGAGCAGCAGAGGGGGAAGCAGCAGCCAGTCCTGGAGCAGCAGGGGGGGGAAGCCTGGAAAAAGAGGGTGGTGGCCAACTACTCCGCATCCCCCGTGCTACCCCCTCCCCCCCCTGTTCTGCAACTGGCTGCCGCTCCGGTTTCAAAAATCCAGAATATTCATTTTTCCAGCAGGTGCTCAGTCCCGAGCATGCCAGATTTATGAGGTTATACTGTCAATGGAGATTCTTTAGATGAAAGACTAAGTACATATCCTAGCTGTGACTTTTTTGGGAAAACTTTAAAGATTAGCAGCAGGATACATTTTAGCCTGTAAAATAGTACATAGCTTTAAAAATATGTTGGATGTTGTGGGCCACCAAAGTTCTTTGCCTTAGCTTTCCAACCAACCAGCTTTCCACAACTTGTTCTGGCTTTGCAATAAGCTATTCCTTGATACTTCCTTTGGTTTCATGATGCAGTGGGTGGCTTTGACTACTCTGTGCACTAATTTTGCCTGGGGATAACAAAACCAATTTCTTCCCTTCCTCACTGTACGCAGCCACAGGATATTGCTACCGTATCTACTTCTGTTTTCTTCCCCCTCATTTTGTTATTGTGGAAAAGGTATGTTAGAATTTAGTAGGGCTGTGTGAAATTTTGACAAGTGTTTTGTTTCGAAGATGTTTTGACGCATTTCGAGCTCGAAACAGTGAAATTGAAATGAAACAAAATGCTTCAAAACAGCTTTGAAACAAAATGAGGTCACTCGAAATGTTTAGAGTTTCAAAGCAGCCTGGTGACCGGAGATGGGGGAGAGCCAGGGCTGCGCTTCGCCTCCCACCACTGGGCTGAGCTCCGTGGAGCTGGCAGAGACGCTTGGAGCGGAGCCCTGGCTCTCCCCCACCTCCCACCACGGGGCTGCACTCTGACTGGCTCTACCAGCCCCAAGGAGCTCAGCCCAGCGGTGGGAGGCTGGGGAGAGCCACTGGCCAGGGCTGTGCTCCGAGCGGCTCCACCACTGACTCTCCTGCTGCCTTGGTGAGCTCTGTGGGGCTGGCATTGCCACTTGGAGTGCAACCCAGCAGCAGGAGGTAGGGAGAGCCAGGACTGTGCTCCGAGTGGCTCCGCCAGCCCCACAGAGCTCAACCTGTTCTCCCAGCACTGCCCGACTCCTCCCCGGGGTGTGGGTCCCCAGATCTGTGCGCGAGATGACAGGAGGCTGCTGCTGCTGGCAAGTGACACAAGTTTTGCTTGTCAGCACCTCGAGGTGCAGTTTCCCAGAAACCCCTCCACCTATGTCCTTGAAACTTGGCAGCCTTCATGCCCTCAGAAGGGGCTACCATCTCTGCAATTTTAATCAGAATCAAGCAAGAAATGACAAAGTTATAGGTATTTTCATGATTTCCCATTATAGCCTGTGGCAGAATGCCACCTCTGTCTCTCCCCAAAAACTCTATGTGACAATTTGGTTAATATGGTCCCAGCAGAGGGCAGGCATCTCTCTCTCAGGTGACAAAGTTGTAACCTGAGCTGGATACATTCCTGAGGAAGGGGGGAAGCCTGCTCCCTTTTCCATACATGACTGGCATCACAAACCTGGGTGAGGGGCTTATGCTCCCTATTGTTCTAAGCAATGCCAACCTGACTGGGAGGGGGCTAGAGACCCTGCCAGTCTACCCAGCAACCCGTGATGCATTTCAAATTGGTTGGCTGGCAGCCAACAGGTGTTGGCCTCCATTGGACCAGGTAAATGAAGTCATGAGGGCTATACAAGTTAAGAACTGCCCAGGAGGAAGAGCAGTAGTCATGATGAAAACTGAGAGAGAAGAGCTAGACCATCTGAAACTTGTTCTATCTCTTGAAACTCATGATCAAGGAACTGCCTGCCTTCAGAGGGAATCTCCACCTGCCTCTGGATGATACTCGTGAATAAGCTACCTGAGATCTAACTAGATATATACCTTGCAGTAACTCAGATGCGTGATCAAAGGCTCCCCAGCCATGCCAGTTTGCTCTATGGGATTTCTCTGATATTACTCTACCCTGTACCCTATTCCAACCCTACTCCTTGTAACCAATAAAGTTCTTTGAACCTAGAGTAGGTCTAGATTATGCCTTGGGGTCCCCTTGGTTTGGCTAAGGGAGACCAGTATTTGTGCTTCAGACTGAGGGAAACACCCCAAGTTCTTGAAGTGGGTCGAGTAACCTCAAGGGCTACTAGGCCTGTGTTTCCCAGGAGGCACGAGCCAGGATCAGGCCAGAACCTGGGTGGTGGCAGTCTTACCCCCAGGCTAGTAGGTGTGCTCCAGGAAGGAGGTTGGCCAGACGTGAGGCACCCCCAGGGAGGCACTTAGAGCATGGAAGGTGGTTGGCTTAGCGCAGGAGCACCCCCTACTGGCCCGCCACACAGCCTATGGGTGAAATGTGTCAAATTAGTGAAACAATTTTGACAAAACAAAATGGAACAGTACTTCGAAACTAAATGAAACGATGAAACACTGCCCCAGCGAAACAAGTTGAAATGAAACGGTGCCGTTTCGCACAGCCCTAGAATTCGGCCCTAAGAACAGTAGGATTTGTATGCATTATTACAGCCTTCTGAGAATAAAATTAAACCAACTACACTTCATACAGGAGTTAATTCTAACTAGGCCCTAAATAGCTAGCAATCATTACTTCAAAAGGTAAAGGTACCAAGAGCTGGTCATTGTCAGTTTCTTGGTACTCAAGTAAATGAGGCCTCCAAATCTCTCCAATCTCTTGGTGTGTATTTTAAGTAGACTGGGATGAAGACCAGGGCCAGTGTCAGAAAAGCAGCATTGTTCTCTGAAAGTAGCCTGGGCAAAAATGACTGGACACATGTATATCACCTTGAAGATGCAGCAAGGGTGAAAACAGCTTATCATGGTATCGAGCATGATCTCATAAAAACACAACTGGCTTCTTAGGATACTGTCAACTGAATTAGCCAGAGATACCTGGCTTCAGTCCATTCAGAAATAATTCTGATACCTTCACTACATTTGGGAAATAGATTATTACAATGGTTATGAGAAAAGTGTTTAATTATTTTTTGGTAACTTTTTGTTCAATTAACATGGATTTTTCTTTTTTTGGGGGGTGATACTTTTCCTCCACCCTACATTTTAAGGCTTTTTTTTGTAACTGAATCAACTCTCTCTAATATCTAGGGCATGTTCAGAATGGCAAGCTTTATGCACAGTACATTATTTGTGACACAATTGTTCTCCTTAGAAATCCAGGGATGGACTTCAAGATTTATGTTTTTCTTGATTAAGAATCTAGTGCAAGCCAGACTTCTGGAAGTCATTCAACTAAAGGTACTGCACATTTAGGGAAACTAGTTCTGTCTATTGGACAAGAGTAAAAAAAACAACCCCCCCCCCAAAAAAAAAAAAAAAAAAAAAAAAAAAGCCTTTCACATCCCTGTTACAGGGCTAAGAGAACTTCCTGGCTGAAACTGCCTGTATATATACACATGGTGACTCTTTACTGTATGTGTTAACAATGCTTTTCTTAAAATGCAGGACTGGTGGAAATACAAAAGAATCCAAGATGACTATATGCATTTATAAAAGGCAGCCATTTTCCAGGTATTTGGCACACTATGATTACTGCCCATTTTAAATAGAAGGATGATGCTATGGGTTATTTCTCCTATCTAAAGCTCTAAAGGCAAGGAGAAACACTGATTCAGGCACAGTGATTACTTCTGTATTAACACACAGTGTTAGTCACAACCCAGTTTTCAAAATGAATGTAATAATGCAAAACATAGCTGTTCTTCCTCAACCTGGCTGGATTACCACTTTTGCTACCACCATAGAAATTGAAGAGGGCGGTTCCATATTCTTTCTTCTGCTACCCACAAGCATTCCTGTACTGTTTGTGTGATGCAAAATGCAGGTGGCTAGAATTGTGGAAGCAGTAAATGAAAATTGCTAAGAGCAGAGTGACAGATGAAGCTCTCTGGAAGACGTTTATTCTCTTAACTGTATCAGACTTCAGTTGGGGTCTTAATATCAATTTGTTATAATTTTCCACGTATAGAATCTAATTATTGGAAAGTCATCTTAAATTAGTCTTTCCCCACTGCTACAGCGGGGAAAGTGGCAGCAAGGGGGCAATTGGCATGGAAAACAGGGGCAGGGAGAGAAGAGGCAAGCAGCAGTGGGGCAAGTTGCCTGACCCTTGTCCTTTACCCCTCTGGTATTTGGCCCCCTTACCATTTGCTCCTCCAGACTTGCACCCAACCCTCTCCTTCTGCCTGCCCCCATGCACTACTTGCCATGCTGCTGGGTCCTGTGTCACCACACTGGGTCCCACATTGGACCCTCATTGCCCCATGCCTCACCAAGTGGATTCCTGCCACCTCTTTTGACTGCAGGTACTGTTTTTTCAATGATATTAAATTCCAAAAAGAGACGGTTTCCCCCATAATCAATGGGAAATAAAATGTCATCTTGGAATCAAGTAAATACATGAGCAATATCGTAGGACATGATAAAGTTATTCAGCAAGAGGCAAGTACCATCAGTTCACCATGCTACATTACACTGTAGATTTCCAAAGTCAGTATTCCAGATTAATCTTAACAAGCAGAGAATTTCTTGAAAACATACCTGGGACAGCTGGAATGTACTAGCTCTGTTTTCAAGCTCAGAGCATTTTGCATTAACTGTAGTCAAATTCTGTTTCAAACGGTCCATCTCTTCAGATAGAGAATTAAGTAACTGTTCTCTTGTCTCTGCTTCCTTGGTTTTCTCCTCAAGTTGACTAAGCAGTGAAGCAACATCGCTGCTTTTACTCCTGGACTTAAACTTTTCTTTTAGGCTTTGGATTTCGTTTTCCTTCTCCCCCAAAGCACAGATGTATTTTTCCTTATCAGTTTCAAGGGAAAATATTTTCTACATGAAGCAAAGCAAAAATATTACTACACTATTAAGGCAATACATTTCCATACAAAAAAAAATCCACAAAAGTTTGGAAACATCCAAACAGATATTTACTTCTAATACTTGATATCCTAAATTTTACCACAACTTAAAATATGGTTTGGTCCAACTAGCAAATGCTAAAACAAATACAGGAACTGGGTAAGACGCATTAAATAATTTGAGTTAAAAAAAATGAAATGCTACAATTAATCGAAGATGAGCTAGACAAACAGTATTCAACCTTTTGGTGCCTCAGAACAGATGAGTGGCACGGGACCAGTCCACAACTTGGATCAGGCCCTACGCCACCTCTGCTCAGGCCCGCACCACCAGATCAGGACCCTGCACTGCCTCCAGCTCCTCCCTGGGTACCCAGATCAGGCTCCAGGCCATCTCGGCATGCAAGATCAGCATGCAATCTGACCCATGGAGCGCCTTATGGGTCTGGATATTTAGCAGCAGGGGAGCAGCATTGGTGCCTCTAATCCCCAGCTACCAAATTTTTGAAAAGCATGGCCCCACATGCTAGTCTGTAGGTTGGGGGTTGAGTACCCTTGAACTAGAATCTAGCTACAAAGTATGCAAAAATACATACTGTGGTTGAGTCTACAAAGATGTAACCACAAAAATGACATGAGCAAAAAAAAAAAAAGAGTCCATTGACCTTACAGGTACCTATATTTCTGCTACTCAAATGCAAGATACCGATAAAAGGAAAGATATTTTCTGTAATGGAGGAATGTTTCCATATTTTAACAATTCTAAACATGCACATGAAAACTGAAGGAGTCTTTTCAGGTGAAAGGTGTTTTCTTTTGGTACATTTCTTTTGTTTATTTCAGGGTGGCACATGCAGTCAGTTTTTGTGGCACGTGGCAGATGCAGCGGGGAGCAAGGAGAGCTGTACCAGACAGAGAGGAGGCAGATTGCAGAGCAACAGATCAAGCAGGTGGAAGGGACCGGAGTGGCACTAGGGAAAGCGGGGTGGGGGTGAATCTGGTCATTCATTAGTTTGGGGTATTGGTTTTTTTGAGAGGCAGACAAGCACTTTTCATGTTCAGCTTTCAAACATTATATTAATGTTCCTGTCTGTTTTTCAGCATGTGCCCTTATTCCATGAGGGCACTGCTGTACAATTAGTAAGTCCATCATATTGATTAGTGAGAGAATCTCTTGCCTAGTTAATATCAAACAAACTAAAATAAAACTATCATTTGAGTACATTCAGAAACCAGTTCAATTGACTAACATTAGGTATTGAAATTGTACTTTTAATATGACTTCGGGGGTTCTACTATAATTTCTAATATGAAGCTGGGCATCATTTCACTTTTCTCTCCCCACATCTATTTTGGTCTTTCCTCCTGGCGAGAGGGGGAGAGGGATTGAAAGAGAAAAAAAATGCCAGTAAGTGGAACTTAAGATGGGCCACTCAAACACGACATATGCACACAGGCAGCATTTACTGTGATTGTATTCTTTGATGAAGCATATATTCACTCCAACTTGGGGAATCCCACTGCAGCACAAACCAACAAAATAACTCTAAACTAGCTAGTCTGGGTACTGACCATCTAACTGCAGATCCAAAGAACCTCAAGCAAGCCACAAAACCTGCCTGAGAGGTGAGGTAATTATTTGGGATGAGGGGAAGGTTAACCAATGCTGAGTTCCATAATGTTGTAGTTACACTACCAGTACTCCCAAGCTAACTTGTTAAAGCTTCCTCAAGTGTATCCTTTTGTCAAAGGACACAAACCCAGTAGTACACTCCATGTGTAGTCTTCACTTGTTGCACTTGGGGTGAAAGTTCCATCTCCTGGCCTCTCCCTCCTGATCATTGTGTTTGTGCTTGACCTTCTACTTCTAATGGACACAAACTGTTACCAGAAGTGAAAAGATGCACACCTTCATAAACAGAAGCCACAGGAGTGCCCAAAACTTCTATTACATTACAGTAGCCTTCACATATACCCTGTCAGGCACAGGCCTTGTACAGCTACAGCAGGAACACTGCTTAGAATAGTTTTTTGGTAGCTTAAACTAGAAATGGGGATCTGCAGTGGGATGGGGAAAGTCTCAGAGTTGCTCCTAGACTAAAGGCAATATGGCTAAATTTAGCAATACAGGCAAGCCCCACTTACCGCTCTTAATTGGTTCTGGAAAAACCAAGCGCTAAGTGAAACAGCATTAAACGAAACCCATTTCCCCATTGGATTTAATGTAAATAAAGATAATTGGTTTCACACCACCTGCCGGCCTGGGCCCTGAGCCCCATTCTCGCTGCCGCCACTGCTCCTCCGCATCCACTGCAGCACCATGTGCCAGAGCGGACCCCAGGCTCCTACCACCCCTCCCTGGGCTCCTGCCACCTACCACTCACCTCTTCCCTTCACACTGACGCCAACGCCACTGCTTCTCCCCACCCCCACGCTATAACAAAATGCTCTCAGCGCTAAGTGAAACCAGGTAGGTATTTTAAATTAGCACTATAATGAAACTGCGCTAAGCGGGGTTAAGCAAAACTGCATTTTGCCTATAGTCAAAAGGGAAAAAAAAGTAACCAAAACTTTAAGATGGCTAATAAAAACAAAGTGAAATTTCCCTAAGAGATGAGTAGCAGGGTCCTTATGTGGACTTGTACAGGAGCACGAGATAGTGTAAGTGCTCCTAGTCTATGTGAGATGTTCTCAGCTCACTCACCAAGAAGGTTTGCGTCATACTCAAGGAATCTTTGGAGGAAGTGCTCAAAACAATGGAACTTTTAGAATATTGAAAGAGCATGGGACACGGGCTGTTAACTGGAGCTTCTGGCCTCAGTCCTCTGTTTGCCAATCTCATATAAGTAGGGGTGCACCAATAGAGATTTTTTGGGCTGATACCAATTTTTAACAAGCCATATCAGCCAATACCGATCCAATATGTAGCCTGGAAGTGTAGAAGTCAGCGTCCAGCTGGTAAGTCTGTTGTGGGGGAAGGAAGGAAGAGGGAACAGGTCGAGGCCCCTGCAGTGAGGGAGGGAGTAGGGCTGGGGCAGGCACTGCACAGCTGGGACGGGGCAGGGCATGTTGCGGGACAGAGCCGTGAGCAACTTGCCCAGGGGGTACGGGGAGTGGCTCCCACTGCTGTGTGCACCCCAGGAGGACATGGGGGGCGTGTGCATCTGGATCTGCACATGGGGCAGGGTGGGCTGTGCTCAGGGCAGGCAGCAGTGGCGCTGGGAGGGGAGCTACAGGGGGGGGGGCTGCTGCCACCCTAAAATTTACCGTAGCCCCCCCAAACCCTCCTTCCAGTGCTGGCGCTGCATGCCCCAAGCGCAGCCCTGCTTGGAAAAGGCTCGGCACAGCCCTGGCCCCCAGCCTGCCCTCGCCCTGCATGTAGATCCAAGCCACATGCCCCCCCATGATGTGTGCAGTGGCAAGAGCCACCACATCCCTGGACAAGCCACTCACAGCTCTGTCCCATGTCCTGTCCTGCCCTACCCGTGCAGCGCCTGCCGCAGCCCCAGCCCCTCTTCCTCCCTCACCATGGAGGCCTTGGTCCTTCCCCCCACCGTTTCCCTCACAACAGACTTACACAATGCTCTCTCCATGCTGCCGGGCTGGATTCCTGGCTGCCTGCATACTGCACTGCAGCTGCGCGCATGCATGGGACATTTATTGGTAACTTTTTTGGCTGATGTGGCAAATAAAGGCTGATTGCCAATACTGTCAATTTTCCTTGTATCAGTGCTGATCCAATATGGGACCAATGTATCGGTGCACCTCTACGTAAAAGGTCCTGAAATTTATTAGTGGAGTTTGACAGCAGCTGAGGAACAGGAGCCCTGAATTTAAAAATTTGGTTTATTCAAGTTATGACAGAAAATCAGTCATTTGTTTACAAACTTTTGCATACTGAGAAGTCATCATTGTACAAAGACAGCACCTCACAGAGATAAGTATAAAACTCAAACGTGTTCTATCACCTCTAAAAGTCTGTTTCTTTCTGCATCTGTCATTTTGCCTTTCCCTTTAAGAATTTCCTCCATAGATTTTTTCAGGGCCGCATTCTCTCTCTTATACTTCTCCAATTCAGTCTCAGATTTGGAGTTAGACTTCAATCCCCACTTGCCAGTAATTATATCTTTGGTGGTCTTTGATGTCATCTTCCAAGTGGTCTATGAAAATAAATACAAAAAGTGATCCCTCTACGATGAACATTCAAACTTGCACAATAACCTCATCAATCTAGCTGAAACACCTCCTTTATAAAAATGTATGCAGAGGTTAGCTAGTGAATATGATTCAAAACTAAAAGTCAGATCTTTCTTACATTTCCACACACAACAGAAAGCCTGGGTGACACTGGCAAGTTAATTCACGAGCCATTTATCTTCATTTGAATACACATCAAAAGCACTGAATGGTCTTTATATACAAGATAATATAGAAGAGCGTAAGAAGCACTTTTTAGTGGGGTATCATTCAAGACAGGTCTCGAAAACCCACATCCACCAGATTCATTGGGAATTTCCTCTCTGGGACATTTTGATTTTGGCAAAATGAAAAACCCTAACTGCAAATCATAGTTTTGAGACTTTTGCCGAACAAGCTGCACTAACCACCACTGCCCAGCAGGCGTCTGACAGATTTTTTCAAAGCGGCAGTAAAGCCCAAAGTGGAAGACGGAGGCGCTCGGCCTTCCCGCAGCTCTGATCGAAGCCGCGGGGTTTGGCAGCGATCCCCCAGCTGGAGGGTGAAACCTCTTGGCTGGAAGTCACTGCGAGAGACCGGGGACAGCAGTGGGATCCCGGGGACGAGACCAGGCCGCCGCCCAGCGCGCTGCAAGGCTGCCAAGGCGGTGGCGGCGGCAGCGCCGTGCCCCGGCTGCTCGGGGGGGTTCCTTGTCTCTCGGGGCTGTCAGCTCGCGTGGCTCGGCGCCTGGGACGGGGCTGTCGCGGCGGAACCGGCACACACGTCGGC